TGATACTTGCCTCAGGGCGGGGAAATTTCAAGAGCTACTTTAAATCGCCTTGGGAAACCGCCTGTATTTCTTTCTCAGGTTCATCTCCGCCATTTTTAAGGCCAAAACAGTCTCGGGTTTTTATTCTGTGCACAGCAAAAGTTCAAGTTCAGCTCAAAACTATGCGCACTCGTTTTTAAACTGGCCTTTTCCCTTTACATGTGCACAGAAATCCCAGAAGCATTTATGAATTTGTAAAAGCTTTAAGTCATTAGCTGGAAAAAAAAGATAAAGATGGCGAAGATGAAGAGAAGAAGTGGCTTTCTTGGGGAGTGGCGGTCCATTATTGGATGGCACGTGGGCTTCCCTCACTCCTTGTTTCTTAGGGGGAAGATTCAGTAATGGTCTGGCATTACTCTTTTTATTTTATTTATTTTTCAATTTTTATTTATTTTTATTTTTTTAAAGGAAAGAAAAGAGTTTTTAAGATAAAGAATCATTGGCAGTTGCTGAGAAATTCCTTTAATCCTTTTCTACTTGGTTACAAGTAGTTTACACGTGGAGGCAGAGGAGGTGCAGATGGTTTTCTTAGAGACTCGCACCCTTCCACTCCAGGCTGTAAGGCCATGGCTGCACCCCACTTAGACATTCTTAAACTCTCCTGTGCTGAATCAAGGCCATCGCCAATTAAAATAGGAATTTTCTCTGGACTTTTTGCTGAGTATTGGTCACACAACTGCTTTCTAACCTTTTCCCAGGTTTCATCAACAAAGCTTAAGAAAGAATCAAGAATATGACTACAATTAACAGAGCATAGTTTAAAGCATACTTATAAGTATTTGAGAGTAGAGATCTCTTTCCCAAGACTCTGAATTACCCATATTTTACACCCGGTTGATTCAATTCACACAATACACTCCTTACCTTCAATCTGTCGTGTGCACACTTCTAGGAGCGACCCCCTCGCTTTCTTCTCTTGCCTCCTTACTCAATCCCTGTTCGGCGCGCCAAATGTGGTGGGCTGTTTCTGTTTCCCGCGACCCGCATGGGAAAACTACAGGTTCTTGAGCGGAGGAGCTGGGGATTAAGAAATTAAAGAAAGATCAAGATGCAGAAATAGATTTTAAGCTGGGGCCAGGTGGGCGCCATCCTCTCTGATGGAGAGGCGGCAAAGCGGGCTGAGCCACACAGCAGGTTTATTTTAAAGGCCTAGATTTACATATTTAGTTCCGCCCCTGCCTGATTAACATGTCCAGCCTTATTGGGGAAGCATGTTCCTAGGGCGTGGCTCTGCCTAAGCTCTGAGTTCAGCTGACAATAATTATAAGAAAATGCCTAGGCGCCTCCCAGGCAGCCCTCTACAAAAAATAGTTAAAAAGAAACCTGCTGGGGCTACTCCCACCCCCCATACTTGTAAGTACTTTTTCAAACATGTCAGTTCAGCACCCTATAAATTTGTGCATAGATTTCACTTAAATTCAAACTGCCTAGTCATTCTGATGATGCGCAGTTACTTAGAGTTAAACGTACTGAGGATTTAAAGCATTTGTAAGGACTTTGGGTTAAGTAGTTGATAAGGACTCTTCCATACTGCTTTTCTGAGACCTCTGACCCCCTCCAACTTGAGGTGTGGTCTCATGGTTGTGACTAAACTAAATTAAATGACACTTCGGTTAGAGGTGGGGTGGGGGCCGGGTGGAAGGGTCAGTGGGGGAAAGGGGGATATATGTAATATTTTCAACAATAAAGAATTGTTTAAAAAAAATGACACTTGGGTTCCTGAAAATAATGGTATGCTGAGGTTAGAGCAGAATCCTTGCTTTGCTCATTCCCTACAAACAGCGTAACCTCATTGTTTCTCCTGTAGAAGCCCCATTTCCTTTACCTGCTTTTTCTTCCCCATTTGAACATCTCTGAGAAATTCACCAATCACCTTTCCATTGCTGCCTTCATATGTTCTGACCTTTAGGGAATTTTTTAAAAATCACCACTTAGTGCCTTTATGCCAGATCTTTAAAGGAAGCAACAAAAAGTTAGAAGTTGCCTGGAAATGCATCCTGAGACGTCAGCCAATCCTGGTTATTCTGACAAATTGGTCCGCTTATTGAAGATTTAAATTACACAAAGACATGAAATACAAAGCTACCTTAGTGTGCTTTAAGGCCTTTATTGATGTGTGTGTGTGTGTTTTCAAATCATAAGTTAGATTTACTATTTTTTGGTATTTCAGTAAATAATGTCCATCATTTTTCCTAGGTGTCTTTGTAAATGCAAAATTGGACAGAACATATGCTGATGCTCTAAATACTAATGTAAAGATGGGAAAATATATGGCTAATTTTCTAGCATCTCTACAGCGAATATTTAAAAAAATTTCAACGGTATGTACTGCCTTTGGATGTATTTCTTGTACTTTATAATTTTCTCTCACATTGCTTTGAGGTTTGACTGTGCTTGCACGATGTTGAGACAACCAATCACATAGCAAAAAGATTCCTTGATTCTGTGTCCCATGCGTTAATCTCCTAATTGTGTGTGGCTGTGGATTTGGTAAATGTGGAGAAATGGATGTGGCAGTTAGGGAGACCGAACCACTGTGGAGAAGCACTTAGTTGTAGTTACACCCCCTGAGGGGCTCTCTTTCTTCCAGAAAGGTGATTCAGGATCCACCTACGCTCCCCTGGCTGGGCCCAGTGACTGTGTGAGCAGCTTATCGATGGCACCGTAAGTGTGTACAGACATCTGTGATATTTAAGAAATTCAAATTGCTGCCTGAAAGAGCACATTTTTATGAAAAATGTTTACTGTTTAAAAAGAATTTAGGGAAATAAGTTACTTATCAACAAAAATAGACAGAATTCATAAACTAATAGTTCCTCCCTTTTCTTCTAGTAATTCTGAATCATCCTCTGAAAGTGGCTTTTCACGAAATGGATCAGAGGGAAATGATAACAGTGACAGAGTTAGTAATGTTCTTTCATCTTCTGAGGTACAGTATTCATCTCCAAACTTCCTAGTTAGTCTGAATCCCCTTTGTGCTTCCTCATTTAAAAATGACCTTCAACCCAATTTTTCTATTTTTATCTCCTGTGCTCTCACTAACTAATAATATTTGGTGTTTTTGACTCTCTTCTTTCTTTATGAACCCACATCCCTCACATGTAGAATTCTCCCACTTGTCACATCCATCTTTCTCTCCTTACTAGCCTTCATACTTTCAAATATTCCTGTGATCTTTCTTTTTATCTTATATCAGCTGAACAGTAACTAAAAGATTCATTCATATAGCTCTGCCTCTGTTTTTAAAAAAATCAGAACTAATCTTAGAAAAAACGAAACAAATAAGATAAATTTTGTGGTGATGATTAGTGTTACAAAAGTTATCCTATTTATAGGTAACTACAAATCAATAAGAAAAAGACAACTCAGTAGAAAAATGTGCAAACGATCGGCACAGAAATTTCAGAGAAGAGATACCCAGATGGTCAAGAAACATATGAAATGACACGCAATTCAAAAGAACAGTTAGATGCTATTTTAAACCCATCAGTTTGGCAAAATTTGAATCTGGCAATACTAAGTGTTAATAAAGCTATGTAACAGTTATCTTATAGAGTGAAACCCTAATATGCAAATCAACTGAACGATGGAACGACAGGTCGCTATGACATGCCTTCACCACCAGGGGGCAGACTCTTAACACAGGAGCTGCCCCCTGGTGGTCAGTGTGTTCCCGCAGGGGGAGCCCTGTTCAGACAGAAGCCCAGCCAGCAGTTGGGCTTGGGTGGCAAGTGCAGTGGTGGTGGCAGTAGCCTCTCCCACCTCTGTGGCAGCCCTAAGGACGCCTCGGGGCTGTCCGACAGTTGCCTGAGTCCCACTCTCCCAAGAGATCCTCGACTGTGAGGGGTTGCAGGCTGGTCTGAGGGACCCCCCTCCAGTGCATTAATATTGTGCACCGGGCCCCACACTGCTGGTGCAAGTAGCAATCAGCACAACCATTTTGGAGAACAATTTGACAACATGTATTAAAGTTGAGGGTGCGCATGCTATAATGCCAAGGAGTTCCCTTCCTGGGGATATTTCCTAGAGAAACACATGCATGTGTGCATAGAGAAACAGGTGTAAGAATATTCTGTGCAACATTGGATGTAATAGGAAGAAATTAGAAAAAAATCTTGCTCATGAACAGGATGGCTAAATTACTCTGTAGTGTAGTCATCATGCAATACTGAGGCTGGCGGGTGATATGAGCACAAGAAACTTAGTCTGATGCTCCCCACTCTGTATCACTATATTTAAGTTGAAAAAGAAATCCACAAAATCTACCAGAATAGTAGTGAATATGAATGAAAGTAGTTATGTGGCATTAATTTTTGAGAGAGATATTGAAACTAATTTGTACTAAAAATGAAATATCAGCATTGCAGTTTTTAACTGGTGATCAGATCAGAAACCCTTGGGGGAACTGTTTTAAACTAGATACCTGGGCTCCATCTGTGTTGTGATTAGCACTGTGACTGATGGGATGCACGCCTTCTTGCTGAGCTTTGCTGGCCAGAGGATCAGCAGGGAAGCCATCTTCTGTACCGGGAGAATCAGTGCTTCTTCAGAACATGCCCTACAATGGCCATATCTGTCTGGTTGCTATAATAGATGAGAACATTGATATAAGCAAGTAAACTGGGTAGCAGGGTTTGATAAGAGTACAAAGATTGATGAGCTATGGACAAAGAACTGTGGTTACAGAACCTGCTAGAAGTAAAGGAGGAGAGAAAGCAAGAAAAAGCACTAGAGCCCTGGCCAGGTGGCTCAGTTGGTTGTAGTGTCATCCCATACACCAAAAGGTGGAGGGTTGATTCCTGGTCAGGGCACATACCTAGGTTGTGGGTTCAGTCTCCAGTCAGGGCACAACCAATCAATGTTTCTCACACTGATGTCTGTCTGTCTGTCTCTCTCTCTCCAGCTCTCCCTCTCTCCCTCTCACTGTCTCTTTCTCTTCCTTCCTCTCTCTTTAGAAAACAAGTGAAACAAACAAAAAAGCATATCCTCGGGTGAGAATTAAAAAAAAAAAAGGATAAAAGCAATAGAATTGATTTAATCATTTGAAACAATTTTTCGTTTTCTTTTCTTATAGAGTAGTCTCGAAATAATTTTGGAGGACGTGATAATGTGAGTACCATTATGCATTGAATTTAGTTTGAAATGAGGTTTTCTTTCAGACGTAGTCTGTCAGCCTTATTTATTAACTCCAGTATTTGTAGAGTATTTTATATCCTTATTTGAGTAGGGTTTCAAAAGTAGAGAGCATTGCCCTGGCCAGTATGCCTCAGCTGGTTGACTGTTGTCCTGTGCATTCAAAAACAGCGGTTTCAATTCCCAGTCAGGACACCTTCCCGTGCTGGTTCAGTCCTTGGTGGGGATGGGTGTGGGAGGCAGCTGATTGATGTTTCTCTCACATGAATATTTCTCTCTCCCTTCCCTTCCTCATTCTCTGAAATTAATAAAGACATATTTTAAAAAAGTAGAGAGCATGGTTAAAGATCACAAAAAGCTTGAATGTACAAACAAATAATTTTAAATATGCAGAGAAATTGTTGTACGCACACTCTACACTGTAGACATAAAGGCCTATGGGGATCTTGCTAGAGTAATTGATTAAGGGAAGTGGGCTTGGTGAGAGATTTTCAAGAGAAGTGCATTATTCTCCAGATAAACAGGTAGAGTAGAAATGGTGTAGACTCAGGTAAAAAATAAAAGGATCAAATGCTATCAAATGTTGATTCAAAATATAAAAAATCTAGTAATAAGCTCTGGAAACAGCCCAAGTGCCCATCAGTAGCTGAGTGGATGAAAAAGCGGTGGTGCATTTATGCAGTGGAATACTACACAGCTATAAAAAAGAAGGAACTCTTACCAGGTCCAGCATGGATGGACCTGGAGATTATTATGCTAAGTGAAGCAAAGTTAAAAAAAGCGTAGTGCATTGCATAAAACCACTGTAAGCAAGTTACATTTGATTTCAATTTTGTTTGAATTTTACATTTTTCTTTAATATTTAGAAATTTGGCACCTAAATTTGACTCCCCTGTAAGCGAGCATATTGTGGATGAGTGGTAAGAAAGAACTGTAAAACAGAATTTTCTTAGAGATATGTTTGTTTATTCCACAAAAGTTTCATAAGGAACTGTTGTACATCAGACAGGCCGTATATACTAGTATTTCCACCTGAACAGTTAAATATTTTGGCACATTCAGGCCCACAGCAGATCATGGTATCTCAAAGTAAAGTTTCTACAAATCTAAATGGAATGTGGTGATGTAGATCTATGTGATGCTTATGTGGGTTTCTCTGAGATCTATGGAAGTTTTTAAAAAATCAATAAAATATATTTTAAAAAAAAAAAAAAAGTTTCATAAGGAACTGTTGTACATCAGACAGGCCGTATATACTAGTATTTCCACCTGAACAGTTAAATATTTTGGCACATTCAGGCCCACAGCAGATCATGGTATCTCAAAGTAAAGTTTCTACAAATCTAAATGGAATGTGGTGATGTAGATCTATGTGATGCTTATGTGGGTTTCTCTGAGATCTATGGAAGTTTTTAATATTGAAAGCAAATATTCCTATAAACCAGTGATTCCCCCCACCCCCAAAAGTACTCTTGCCAGAATTAGAATAGTACCACTTGAATCTGTTTTTATTTTCCACTTTTCACTTTGAAAAAAGGTGTATTTTGTGGTAGATCACCTGTTTGGGTTCAAAGAAAATAGGCCTATTTGCAACAAAAGAACATTGAAAATAAGTTTAAAAATAACAATAAAGGACCCTCGTTGGTTTGGCTCACTGGATAGAGCATCAGCCTGCAGACTGAAGAGTCCCAAATTCGATTCTGGTCTAGGGCACATACCTTGGTTGCAGGCTCCTCCCCAGGCCTGGAACTAGTCAGGGCGTGTGCAGGAGGCAACCCGTCAATGTGTTTCTCCCACATCAATATTTCTCTGTCTTTTCCTCTCTCTTCCACTCTCTCTAAAAATCAATGGAGCCGAAACCGGTTTGGCTCAATGAATAGAGCGTCGGCCTGTGGACTGAAGGGTCTCAGGTTCGATTCCGGTCAAGGGCATGTACCTGGGTTGCGGGCACATCCCCAGTGGGAGATGTGCAGGAGGCAGCTGATCGATGTTTCTCTCTCATCGATGTTTCTAACTCTCTATCTCTCTCCCTTCCTCTCTGTAAAAAATCAATAAAATATATTTTAAAAAAATAATAAAAAATAAAATAAATAAAATAAAAATCAATGGAAAAATATTCTGCAGTGAGGATTAAAAAAAATTGAAATATTTAAAAAGTAAATTCAGCTCTTGCAACTTGGCCGCCGACATGCCATCCAGACTGAGAAAGACCCGCAAACTTCGGGGCTATGTGAGCCAGGGCCACGGCCGCATCAGCAAGCACAGGAAGCACCCGGGGGGCCGCGGGAATGCTGGTGGCTTGCATCATCAAAGGATCAACTTTGACAAATATCACCCAGGTTACTTTGGGAAAGTCGGTATGAGGCATTACCACTTAAAGAGGCACCAGAGCTTCTGTCCAACAGTCAACCTTGATAAACTGTGGACCCTGGTCAGTGAGCAGACACGGGTAAATGCTGCCAAAAGCAAGACTGGAGCTGCTCCTATCACTGATGTGGTGCGATCAGGCTACTACAAAGTTCTGGGGAAGGGAAAGCTCCCAAAGCAGCCTGTCATTGTGAAGGCCAAGTTCTTCAGCAGAGGAGCTGAGGAGAAGATTAAGGGTGTTGGTGGGGCCTGTGTCCTGGTAGCTTGAAGCTACATGGAGGGGAGTTCATTAAAATGTCCAAGTACTTTTGTCTTCTGGTCTGAGTGTAGGTCCTTTGGCATCTATACTTCCCTACCTGTACTTCCAAAACCTCCCTAACAGGTTCTAGGAGTTAGGGTATCGAGGCCTGGGGTCCTCTGCAAACTTCCCTGAGGAAGAAAGAAACCTCTGGACTGATCCTGACTTGAACTTTTCATTTATAAAGTGAGAATGATAAAAAAAAAAAAAGTAAATTCAATACTAAAATAAACAAACAAAAAAAAACAATAAAGAATCCACATCTATGCCCTAACCAGTTTTGCAGGATAGAGCATCGATCTGCAGACTCAAGGGTCCCAGGTTTGATTCTGGTCAGTGGCATATACCTTGGTTGCAGGCACATCCCTAGTGGGGGGTGTGCAGGAGGTGTGATCGGTGTTTCTAACTGTCTATCCCTCTCCCTTCTCTCTGTAAAAAATCAATAAAATATATTTTTAAAAAAAGAATCCACATCTATCAAATAACTTCCTAATATATAGTTGGCACTGTGCTGGGCATTGGCAGTGGGTTTATAGTAGGAACAAATAGAACAGTTCTTGCCCTCATAGAGTTTTGTGGGGTTGAAAATTACCTGAAAAAGTCTAATTACAAACTATGGTCAGAGGCCTGAAAGATGAGGCAGCACAGGGAGGTGGGAAGATGAAGATAGGACAGGTGACGTGAAGGTTCAAGGAGCAGAGAGAAGGTTGTGTGCTTGGAATGCAGTGAAAATGGGCACTGTGCCAGGGGACAAGCTGGAGAGGGAGCAGAGGCCCCATCACAGGCCCCATGGAGGCCATTTAACGACTTTCCATTTTTTTGCTGAATGCAAAGCTAGGCTATTGGCTGTTAGGCAATAAAGAGACATGATCATACTGGTTACTCTGTGGATTATGATTAAAGGGGAGGAGGAGAGAAAGTGAAGAGTCCGGTTAGCAAGGTCCTGCAGGAGCCTGGTGGAAGCTTTTACTGGGGTGAAGATGTCAGACAGGAAAAGTGGGCCGATACCAGTGATACGTTTTAGAAGTAGAATTGGCAGGTCCTCATGATGGAATTAGAGGTCTACGAGCCAGGCTGGCCCTGAGCACCTGCTCATTTCTCTTATAATAGCTTGATGGTAGCCGTGGAACACAGTATGGTGCTTTTTTTTCTAAAATTTTATGCTTGTGAGAAGATTCTTTCTCATGGCAGTTGCACAGCCAGGAGTTGCCTGTGTCTTCCAGGGATGATCTGTTGTGTTGAGAGGAGGTGGGGGAGGAACGATCCTTTGTGTGTGGAGTGGGCCCTTCTTATTCAGAAGTGGGGAGCCAAGTTTGTTATATAGTCCATTTCATCAGTGGCCTTAAGGGAGAGTGGAAGGGGTGGGGGCCAGCTAGCATTGGATCTTAGAATAACAGTGGCTTTTATCCTTTAAGGTTTCTCAAGGATTTTGAAGAAATAGCACCAATTGGCTCTGGTGCATATGGCAGTGTTTTCAAAGCAAAACACAGACTTGATGGGACGACTTACGTTATTAAATGTGTTAAATACAATAACGAGTAAGTAGCAAATGTTTTGTTTCATTTTTTAAAATAAGAAGATACGTTGAATTGTATTATTCTTCTTTATGTATCTGTCTTCTTCATGAGTATATTATTTACTTTTTCCCAGTCCTTAAAAATGTTACTCTGGCCCCGGCATGGCTCAGTTGCGAGTTGACCTATGAACCAGGAAGTCACGGTTTGATTTCTGATCAGGGCACATGCCCAGGTTTTGGCTAGATCCCCAGTAGGGCGTGTGCAAGAGGCAGCCAGTCAGTGATGTTTCTATCTCTCTTTCCCTCTCCTTTCCTCTCTGAAATCAATTAAAAATATATATATTTTTTAAAATCTTAGTCTATCATCAGGAGCTTGGCTTACTCAGAGCATGAGGTGTTAGACTACCGGGATCCGACCGGACCTTGGTTCAGCAATTTCGGTACTTGAGTTCTGGCTAAGAAAGAATACAGAGCCAAGACTCCAACTATGAGAGAAAATCACAGAGTTGGAAGAAGTAATTCATAGAAGAAATGGGATTAGGAAACAAGTGATAGAGGCAAAGGAAGGGTCCTTGAAGTTTGGAAATTAGGAAGGTAATGGTAACACGCTGGGGGGATGGGGATGGGGATTGGGAGGGAGAGGGGAAGATGCAGGCCTGCTCCTGGGAGGGAGAGCTCACGGAGTCCTCAGTCCTAAGGGTTTTAAGGGTGGAGATTTTAGGGAAGGTCCCAGGGGGAGATCTTAATAGAATATTCAGCAGCTTTCCAGGTGTGTCCTTTCAAGGTCAAGGTCTCCACTGATAGATTGGTCAGTGCCAATGCAGCTGGTCCTGAGGTCAGCCATGAGATCACTTATTTGGTTTTACTGCTTTTCTGGGCCTGGAGCTGAAATACAACTGAGGCCTAGATGTTATCTCTAGGGAGGAAAGGTTAGGGATTCCAAAATGCATGACCAGCAATATGCTAGGAGGAGGAAAGGTCACCCTGGGGGCAAGGTGTCACCCTACAATTGTTCTTTTCTAGGCACCCAAGGCTTTTCCCTTTAGTGACCTTCTGTACCTGGCCCATACTCCTTCCTCTGCTCAGGTCTAACTGCCTACCACAATTCTGTTAAGGCTGTCTTGATGAGAACGCAAGTTATAGAGTCATTTAGCTCAAGGTGACCTTTGAGATTTTCTAGTTTCGTCTCCTGCCTTGTTTTCTGGCAGTTGTTACTTCGTCTAAGTTGGCCAGACTGATCCTTCAAAGACTAGAGAAGCAGAAAAGGTAGAAAAGAGATAGGGAGAGTGGGCTGAGCAAAGGAGAAACAGTCAGAGTCCTAGGTGCTCTTCATCCCAATCAAACCTACTTCCTGTCCAAGGACAGTACCTTGCTTGGCTTTGGAAACACCTTTATGCCTTCTTGGCATCAAAACAAGCTTTTTCTTTCTTCACTGTTTTGCTTAACAAGAATGAAATATTGTTGTTCCTTCCATTCAGTAGCAATTTTTTAGTGGAAATAGTTAAAGATGATCATGGTGCAATATTAGGGGACATTAGTAGTGGCTTCATAAATTGGTAGAACACAGTTAAAATATACTTGGAAATAATAATCCAGAGCCATAATAATGTTTATACACTTTGACTTAAGGATTTTCTGTCTAGAAACCTATTCTAAGGATATTGCCCAAATTAAGGGAAAAATAACCATGTAAGAGGATATAAATACAGTGTTGTTTATAATAGTGAAGAATTAGAAAACACAAAATATCTAACAATAAAGGAATGATTAAAGATGTTTTGTTTTCTCTTCCCCGATCAGTGGCTATTTTACAGTCATTAAAAATGAGGGTTATAAGCTGAAAATATTTACACATGAAATCTTAGATATGGAAAGTAGCTTCAGAATAATACAGGGGAAGATGAGGAAGTGGGTAAGGGTACATATGAAATTAACAACTGTTTCATCTGGGTGATGGCTAGGTAAGGGTTTGTTATACTATTTACTCTTTTTTAATATACTTTTGAAATATTACATTAAAAAGTTTTTATGCCCTAGCCAGTTTGGCTCAGTGGATGGAGCATCGGCCCTCGGACTGAAGGGTCCTGGGTTCCATTCTGGTCAAGGGCACATAGCTTGGTTGCAGGCTCAATTGTTAGTCCTGGTTGGGGCTGTGTGGGAGGCAACCAATCGATGTGTCTCTCTCACAACGATGTTTCTCTCTTTGTCTCTCACCATCCCTTCCACTCCCTCTAAAAATCAATAGAAAAATATCTTCAGGTGATGATTAACTAAGACTAAAACTAAAAATTAAAAAGTTTATACGTGTTAGTTATGCAGATTGTAAGTCAATAAGGAAAATTGTAAAGATAACATGTGAAAATAGAATGATATTTATACTAATAAAAGGGTAATATGCTAATTAGACAGGATAGACCGGATGTCTTCTGGACGTCCTTCTGGACAAAGCCACAGTGGTGGGGGCCGAGGCAGAGGTGATTAGGGATGATCAGGTCATCAGGAGAGAGTGGTTAGAAGTGATCAGGCCAGCAAGGGAGAGTGGTTAGGGGAGATCAGGCCATTAGGGGAGAATGGGGTGATCAGGCTGTCAGGGGAGAGTGGTAAGGGGGGGATCAGGCCGTCAGGGGAGAGTGGTTAGGGGCATCAGGCTGGCAGGCAGGCAGGGTGGTTCGGGGCAACTAGGTAGGCAGGCAGGTAAGCGGTTAGGAGCCAGCAGTCCTGGATTGCGAGAGGGATGTCCAACATCCCCTGAGGGGTCCCGGATTGGAGAGGGTGCAGGCTGGGCTGAGGGAACAACCCCTGCCACACACCCCATGCACGAATTTCATGCACTGGAACTTTATTATGTAATAATAATAGTGTAATATGCTAATTAGACCGGACATCCTTCTGGACTTCCTTTCGGGCGACCTTCTGGACAAAGCTGGGGCTGCAGGCGTGAGATCAAGGCAGCTGCTGTGCTGCGAAGGCCTACTCTTTTTTTTAATATATATTTTTATTGATTTCAGAGAGGAAGGGAGAGGGAGAGAGAGATAGAAACATCAATGATGAGAATCATTGATTGGCTGCCTCCTGCATGCCCCCTACTGGGGATCAAGCCCACAACCCAGGGATGTGCCCTTGACTGGAATCGAACCTGGGACCCTTCAGCCTGCAGGCTGACACTCTATCCACTGAGCCAAACTAGCTAGGGCATGAAAGCCTACTCTTGCATGAATTTCAGGCATCGGGCCTCTAGTACACTATAATTACAAATATATAAAAATATAAGGACAAATGATAAATAACTCCAAGTAATAACTGATTGTGTTAGGATTGTCAATAATGAGTAACTTCTCTTTATTTTTACAACTTGTATGTCATATAAATAATTTTTTTTAAAATAAATACTGAAATTGCACAATGTCTGCTTATCTTTTCTCATACTTGAGATTTCAGATTTGTTTATTCCATTGAGCATAGCATTGTCTACACTCCTGACTACACATCCTTGTAAAGCTCCCACATGCACAGCAAAGTCTCCATTTCGCTGTCTGGATCCTCTCCTTTGTGTTTCTTTGCCACACACTGGAAATTCCGAATTAGGCCCTTCTTACTGCCTGGGTTACCTAACCAGGCTGCCCAAATGGGGTTTGTTTTTGAAACTCAAAGTGACTTTAGCACAAGTCTAAATAAGACATAATGTGTGAATTAGCTACCATAATTATATCATTGGCATTTCAAAGACTACAGACAGTCCTCCAGTTACGTCGGACTCAACGTAATTCGTTTCATGGTTCCATTGCCATCTCCCATTTATTAATAAAAAAAAGAAGTTCCGTCATTTTGACATATGTACATATGTGCTTTATGTTTTTTTTTTTAATTTACCACAAGTATAGGTCAGGAATTGTTATCTTTTTTAAAAAGTTTTTTTACTGTTTCACTTCATCACTGCTGTGTCTGTGCTCCATGTGAGTGACATAGGTGCTTATGTAGGTGGGTTCCTACTTACGGAGAAAATCGTGTTACGTCGCACCATAGGAACGGATCTCCAACATAAATCCAGGACCTACTGTACTACCAATGACTTTTAAGTTGTCTGACCTTTGGAATGATTTGTCACCATTTTTTCTTTTGTGTTGAGAGTGAAAACAGCTATGTTTTTTCTGTATGTTCACTTTTTCCTTTGCGGGGCTCTTGGCCTTCATTCTAAAACTCTGGGTGTGGGAATCATGGCAACTGTTCAGATAAAGGAGGTGTTTTGTTATTGTTATCAGGGATGTATACTGACCCCTTCTATTCCTTGTTTCTTTTAACTAGGAAGGTAAAGCGTGAAGTAAAGGCTTTGGCAATGCTTAGTCATCCAAATATTGTTCGCTACTATAATAGTTGGGTTGGAGAAGATTACAACAAAAGGTAACTAACAGAAAAATTCTCGTAGACATAATATGATGGAGGAAACTGTCATTGGCTATATGTGGGCCATTAATATATTTAATAATCACAACAGGATGAGAAAGGATAAGCAGACACTATTTGAGACACTGTTTATCTCCATTCTGCAGGTAAGGAGTCAAAGAATAATATTTTCCTTCCTTCTTTCCTTGCTCGAAACTTCTTTTCAAGTCATTTTTTCTGTCCTCAGGTGTTGTTTTTTTTTATCATTTTTTTTTTATTGCTTAAAGTATTACAAAGGGTATTACATATGTGTCCTTTTTTTCCCCCGCCCTTGACAATTCCCCGACTTCCCCTACCCCCCAGTGTCTTATGTCCATTGGTTATGCTCATATGCATGCATACAAGTCCTTCAGTTGATCTCTTACCCCCCTCCCTCCTGCCCCCCAATCCTCCCCTGCCTTCCCACTGCAGTTTGACAATCTGTGTGAGGCAGCTCAGCCCCTGTATATATTATTGTTCAAAAGTTTATAATGGTCTCTATTATCCATGAATGAGTGAGATCATGTGGTATTTTTCCTTCATTGACTGGCTTATTTCACTTAGCATAATGCTCTCCAGCTCCATCCATGCCGTTGCAAATTGTAAGAGTTCCTTCTTTTTTACAGCAGCATAGTATTCCATCGTGTAGATGTACCACAGTTTTCTAATCCATTCATCTACTGATGGGCACTTAGGCTGTTTCCAGATCTTAGCTATGGTGAATTGTGCTGCTATGAACATAGGGGTGCATATATCCTTTCTGATTGGTGTTTCTGGTTTCTTGGGATATATTCCTAGAAGTGAGATCACAGGATCAAATGGGATTTCCATTTTTAGTTTTTTGAGGAAACTCCATACTGTCTTCCACAGTGGCTGCACCAACCTGCATTCCCACCAGCAGTGCACAAGTGTTCCTTTTTCTCCACATCCTCTCCAGCACTTGTCGTTTGTTGATTTGTTGATGATAGCCAGTCTGACAGGTGTGAGATGGTACCTCATTGTTGTTTTGATTTGCATCTCTCGGATGATTAGTGACTTTGAGCATGTTTTCATATGTCTCTTGGCTTTCTGAATGTCCTCTTTTGAAAGGTGTCTATTTAGATCCTTTGCCCATTTTTTGATTGGATTGTTTATCTTCCTTTTGTTAAGTTGTATGAGTTCCCTATAGATTTTGGAGATTAGGCCCTTATCAGATATGACATTGGCAAATATGTTTTCCCACTCGGTGGGTTTTCTTGTTGTTTTGTTGATGGTTTCTTTTGCTGTGCAGAAGCTTTTTATTTTGATGTAGTCCCATTTGTTCATTTTCTCTTTAGTTTCAAGTGCCCTAGGAGCTGTATCAGTGAAGAAATTGCTTCGGCATATGTCTGAGATTTTGTTGCCTTTGGATTCTTCTAGAATTTTTATGGTTTCCTGTCGTACATTTAAGTCCTTTATCCATTTTGAGTTTATTTTTGTGTATGGTGTAAGTTGGTGGTCTAGTTTCATTTTCTTGCATGTATCCGTCCAATTTTCCCAACGCCATTTATTGAAGAGACTGTCTTGGCTCCATTGTATGTTCTTGTCTCCTTTGTCAAATATTAATTGAGCATATAGGTTCGGGCCGATTTCTGGGCTCTCTATTCTATTCCATTGATCTATATGTCTGTTCTTGTGCCAGTACCAGGCAGTTTTGAGAACAGTGGCTTTGTAATACAGCTTGATATCTGGTATTGAGATCCCACTACTTTGTTCTTTCTCAGGATTGCTGCAGCTATTCGGGGTCTTTTTTTATTCCAGATGAATTTTTGGAGAGTTCGTTCTAGATCTGTGAAATATGCCATTGGTATTTTAATGGGAAGTGCGTTGAATTTATAGATTGCTTTGGGTAGTATGGACATTTTAATGATGGTGATTCTACCAATCCATGAACATGGTATGTTCTTCCATCTGTTTATGTCTTCCTCTATCTCTTTTTTCAACGTCCTGTAGTTTTCTGAGTAGAGGTCTTTTACCACTTTAGTTAAGCTTATTCCTAGGTAGCTTAAAGAATCTCAGGTTTAGCTTTCCTGACTTTGTTGTTTCATAGATGCACCGACTTCAGTTGAGGCTGGAGAGACAGTCTTGAGGAGGAGATTTGAACATGTAGATGCTGCAACTGGAGTGTCCCTCCTCAGCTGCCAGCACTTTTCTTTCCCTCTCTCAGGCCCCCCAGATGCAATCAAAGAGTCTCTCTCAAATGCCACAACACCACTTACAGTGGGTTGGAGAGCAGTGAAAATAATTTTAAGACCATGAGCTTAAGGTGATAGGGGCACTTCACCTTGCATACTCATGTTTTGTCTCAACTAAACCACTGCCAAAGGGCTGGAGGATTCAAAAGATGGAAGTCACCCAGTGTTTCTTGTGGATGGTCCTCTCACTGCAATCCCAAGGCCATTGTGGGCTTGTTCATTCATCATCTCCTGCCACCAGCCCAGTCAATGTACTGAGAACTTTATCATCAGTTTTAGGAGTTCTTGACTGGCAGCACTTGGGACTTCAGCTTTTAGCAAATTCTTGTCTATCTCTTTCTGTCTTCTAGCCAACGTATGTTCAAAGAATATAAGTTAATATTGAGGCCCACGTATTGCTGAAAAAGAAAACATGGTTAGCAAAATCTGTCCTCCCAGTTATATCTCATAGCAGTGTGTTGGCACTTCTTTTAGAGTACCTATCCTTGTGCTATTGTTTTAGGTTTTTTTTTCCTTTACCTCTCTCCTATTCAACTGTCATCCCATGACAATAAGGATAGTGCCTAACTCATTTCCTCATCTCTAGGTGCCTATTCACAAAATGATGCTCGTTATATTGAGGGTGAATTGCAATATTTAAAAATTACTTTATATAATAATGAGATTTGGTTTTCTGCAATTCCATTGTATTAATGTTCCCTTTCCTATCTTTTAGAAAGGTGATCAAGGACCTTCAGCATTAAAGGATGGACAGGCTTATACTTTATGAATTAGCTAAACCAATAACGCCCTGGACATCTGGGAACTGAGGTTTAAATAAAAAAAGGTTTATTATATTGTGATTTAAATTTACTTATTTAGATTTCTGTTTTGAGACATGTTTTGTGCTCAATTAGCTGGAGCGTCATCCCATACACCGAAAGATTGCTGGTTCGATTTCACGTCAGGGCACATACCCAGGTTGTGGGTTCAATCCTTGGTTCATGTGGTCAATGTTTCTCTCTCACATTGATGTTTCTTTCTCTCTCCCTTCTTCTCTCTCTGAAATCAATAAGAATATATCCTCGGGTGAAGATAAAAAAGAAGAGAAGCTACAATTTTAAGAAAGAAATGTATTAGTATTTTTTATGAAGTTATTTTTATTGTTACTTCTCTTTGAATTTTATATCCAGATCATTGCCGAAGTACCTTTTCATCCAAATGGAATTCTGTGAGAAAGGGACATTGGAAGCCTGGATTGAGATCAGAAGAGGGGAGATTCCAAACAAAGATTTGTCTTTGGGATTATTTAAGCAAATAGTAACTGGAGTGGATTATATACATTCAGAAGGGTTAATTCATAGAGACCTTAAGGTAAGTGGAAAATTGATCAACGTAATTTAATAATTGAAAAATCCATCTCTTCAGATTTTAGAATTGGTTGACCATCGTGAAGCAATATCTCTGATCCTCTAAAGTGCAAATGGATCTAGAACTTGTCACACATTTCATTCCCTAGATCTACTCAGAAGATCTCCAGGGCGGGTGAACTTGTCAAGAACCCGAGCCCTGCCATAACCGGTTTGGCTGAATGGATAGCGTGTCGGCCTGCGGACTGAAGGGTCCCAGGTTCGATTCCGGTCAAGGTCATGTACCTTGGTTGCTGGCATATCCCCAGTAGGGGGTGTGCAGGAGGCAGCTGATCAATGTTTCTCTCTCATCGATGTTTCTATCCCTCTTCCTTCCTCTCTGTAAAAAAATCAGTAAAATATATATTTTTTTTAAAAAAGAACCTGAGCCCTACAGGAAGAAGCCCATTCACTTCTGGTGCTATCTGGCTGAAAGTCACTCCAGTTGCAAACACTGAACGTTCCATGCACTTAATGTTCGTGACTGACACAGACAGCTGGCTGCTCTGTCTCTGTGCCTCCTACTACTTGGGCTTGTCTGAGAGGCAGAAGGACTCTGGTGACTGTGACTTTGGGAATTGGATTCTACTCTCTCTCAGCCTTTACTCTGAGGGCAGTCACAGCTGCTAGGTCCAGAATCTAGAATTTCCTTTGGCATTTGGACACCACTGCCCCATGATTGGAAAATTGTAGTAATCCAAACCTTGGAACCTGTAGCAAACCTTTGTATTTTCTTCTTTCTGTTCTTTCTGTTTTTCTAGCATCCTACGTGGCCTAGAAGAGCAGTTTTCCATTTTTGCATCTCACCACAATGAGGGGACGAGAGACAGAACAGCTTTTCAGTCTCTCCCCCCATACTCTGTGCCCTGTGATGTACCCACTCTCATCCCAGACAAGTCATGCGGAATCCTGTCGTTGTCTCTTTGCTCACCTTCTTGCATGGGACTCTCTTCTGCCTGTTCCCTTTACCCCAGCTCCTTTATGAAGCCTTTCCAGATCACTCCGCATCAGGCAGAAGCACCTCGTCCATATGCATGGTGCTATCTGCTAGCCCACCTATCTGAAACGTCCAGGAATGAGGAATGAAGCAAGTGTTTCCTTGAGTGAAATAAGCACTTATGTAGATAGCAGTTTGTTGGGCCCCTAAATGATATGCATTCCCAGTGGCTGAATGTCTGATGCCTTCATGTTGGAGTCCACCTGGTTCCAATATCTCTTTTTAACAATATTTGAAGGTGTTTTTTGAAGCTGGAACATAATAAAGACCGTGTTCAAAAAGATATATTTAGAATAGCTATACCTTCACTTTGGAATAAATGATACTTAGCGTTACATGAGAAACCAAGCACAGTGATCTATTTGTGCAGTAATTTTTAAGAAAATACAGAAGTATGGGTATTAATCACATAATGGGTGGATTAGTGCAATTCTGACTGGTGCAGACTGGAGTCTGCCTTCTCCTGCACCTCTCCGTATCCCGCAAGGCCCCTGCCCCAGGTCGTGGCCTGATCTTTTCTTGTGTCTGTTTGCAGACTGTTTGTTCTATCACTGCAGTGGCTCCAAGGTCAGGCTTTAATACTACTGAGCCTTCTTTCATCTTCTCCAACTGTTCTAGCTTCACTGCTACACTGTCTGCTGTCTCACATCCGAAATAGGGTGCAAACGAAGGCATGCACGTTTCTTAGTGACGTCTAGCAAAATACCAGCTGCAGGTGGCTTTGCCTGAGAGGGGACTTTATCCAGTAAAGCTCCTCTTAGGTGAAGCCTGCCAGTGTTCACCACATTCTGTTGGAATCCTAAGAACTAAACCAAAGGCACTGAGGAGGGACATAGACGTTTCTGGAATGAGGGCTTATGGATCTTGGAGGTTCAGTCCCCTTAGGCCCAGGCTCTCTGGTCATCCTCTGAGCCTCAGACCTGATTCCTGTACCTCCTATATAGAATTGGCACTCTTTTTTATGTTCTACAACGCAAGATTTTGCTAAGTTACTATAACTGATTAAGCCAATGGTGCATTATTTTTCTTTTTAATGAACAGTAAATAAGCAATCTGATATTTTACTACACAGTCCTAGCCAGCTTCTAGAGCACTGTAAATGTAACCTCCTGTTTCTCAGAGTCAGGTGATAGCCTTGTGTGGGACTAGCAGCTGCGCTTTCAGACCCAACATATTCCTGCACTGTTACTTGAATTAGCATTGGCACATCTTTTTCTCCACACCCACCGCACACACATGCACAGCTTTCCATCTGTATTCTTGGTGCTAGGTTCCAGTCTCACTGTTGCTTGTTCCAATCCAACTGCTAATTTGTATGTGGACCTTTTCTGGCAGGCTTCTTAGAAGCTCCTCTTTCAGCTGCCCTGGGCTGATGTCTCTTCCCTCTCAGTGCCTTTACTCGGCCCTCTCATACTTGTTAGGTCATGAGGTCTGTGTGTGAATATACAGCCCATCATTGTATTGAAAGTCTATCTTTTTCAACAATAGAAAAATAATAATTTCCTCCTCAATAACAATTTCTTTTCATGGTCTTTAGAAATTTGGTCAATACCTTCTATAAATTTGTGGAATAGGATGAACACCCCTCCCTTATCTGCTCAGAGTCACATGGGAAATATACTTCAGTGCTCGTTATCAGCTTCCAGTTAACTTGGTATGCCTTCAGGGATAGAGGGAGAATGTTTTTGAAGAAGGTGCCAGAGGCCTAGAGAAATTGACATCCAAGAAGCCCCCATGAGAAGTTGTGCACAGGATATCCTGCAGCATTACTGGGTAGAGACCCAGTCTAAGAATCTCAACGTTGGAAGGGATCAGAAGGGCACCTACTTCGATCCCCATATCATATTTGCAACATTTCCACCAAATGGATGATGTCCAGTTCTGTCTTCCTGGGATAGGGAACTCTTGGACTCTCATTTTTGGAACCCCACTATTAGTATATTTAGGTTACACTAAAGCAAATCTTTTGGCCGTTTCTACCCTCTAGCCTGGATTTATTCATGGGGCCATACGGTGAATCCATCTTCCACTTAAAGCTCTTCAGATATTTGGAGGCAGCTCTGCCCAAGCTTTCTTTGCTGACAGAGAAGTCCCAGCTTCCTCAGCTGGCATTTTAAAGACCTGTGATATTAATTTTTCTATTTTGGGCTACCTGTGTAAGTTTAAATGCCTTACACACGGGCGGGCACAAGTAGGTGTACAGTTGTGAGTACACAAAACTGTTTATTCTTGTACTATTACTTACAAATTATTGTATTATTTTCCATGTGAACGACTGTAACCTTACTTTTGCCCACCCCTGTAAGTACTTCTAAACAATAGCCGTTGCTAAATATGATTTGGATATGTGATGCCAATCTGTCAGAGTGGTACTTATGAATTAAATATTGTGTTTTCTTTTACTGTAGCCAAGTAACATATTTTTAGTAGATACAAAACAAATAAAGATTGGAGACTTTGGACTTGTAACATTCCAGAAACATGATAAACAGCGGACAGAAGACCAGGGAACTCGACTCTACATGAGCCCTGAACAGGTTTGGTCCCTTTCCTTTCTTTCTCTATTTTTTTTATTATTTCTTTCATTTTAAAGAAATTATAAAAATAATAGACACCACCGATAAAATTAAAACAGTACAGAAGTGTATAGAATATACTTCTATACGAAGGTGTATACAAATACCTTTTTTTGTAATCGTTACTTTGCTAACAACAGTTTGTTGTCTATCCTTTTATTTTTTTAAAATCTATTTATTATCATTATTTTTTAATCCTCACCTGAGGTTATTTTTCCATTGGTTTTTTACCCCCATTGATTTTTAGAGAGAGTGGAAGAGGGAGGGGAAGACAGAAATATTAATGTGATAGAAACACATTGATTGGTTGCCTCCTGCCCGAACCCGACCAGGGCTTGGGCTGGGGAGGATCGTACAACCCAGGTATGCGGCCTTGACCGGAATCAAACCTGGAACCCTTTGGTCTGCAAGCCAATGCTCTCAGTTTGTTGTCTATCCTTTTAGATCGTTTTCTGGGAGTTATAAAAATATACAAACACAAATGTGTATTTACATAGACTTTTTTTTAGATGAAAATATACATACCTATACTTTTACTGGAATACTACAATGTTCTCTTGTGACTTGATTTTTTTCACTCAATAATGTATCATAATTTTTCCATCTGACATAAAAATGTCATTTAAGTTTTTTGTGGAGTATGAAAGTAGAAGATAATTAAGAAGCTAATGGCTCCCTTTTAACTCCCGGTTTATTGAATACTAGAGGCCCGGTGCATGAATTTGGGGGACAAATGGGGCCGGGGCTGCGGGGGGGGTGGGGAGGATACAGGAGGATGGGGGGCCGATTCGGGATGGGGCCAGCGGGGGCACTGCGGGAGGTTCTTGGGGGATAATTGGGGCCTCGATCAGGCTGGTTGGCTGCCTCAGTGCGCGTCATAGTGACTGGTCATTCTGGTCATTCTGTCCTTACAGTTGCTTGGCTTTTATATGTATAGATCTCCTGCATCCTACAATGTCTCCCTCAGAATATTTTTTTTAAATCACTCATTATTGTGCTTTTGGTTTTCTCAGTGATTTTTAAATTTAAAGAAGATTTTATTGAGGAATAATTTAAATAGCATAAAATGCACAGACCTTTTTTTAATTTTATTATTGATTACAGAGAGGGAAAGGGGGAGAGAGATAGAAACATCATTGATGAGAGAGAATCATGGACTGGCTGCCTCCTACACACCTCCTATTGGCATGTGCCCTTGACCAGAATCAAACCTGGGACCCTTCAGTCCGCAGGCCTATGCTCTATCCACTGAGCCAAACCGGGAGGGCAAAATGCACAGATCTTAAGTATACATTTCTTTAGTTTTGACAAAAGCATATACCTATGAAGCCCACAAGCTTATGAAGGAGAATATTTTCCTTACCCATGAAAACTCCCTCACTGACTTCCAGTCAGTCCTCCTCACCGTCCAGAGGCAGCCAGTGCTCTGATTTTTATCACCATTGATTAGTTCTCCCTGTTCTTAAGCTTCATATGAATGGGATCACACAGTATGTATTCTTTTCCATTTGATTATTTCACCCAAAGTGATATCTATGGGAGAACCTCTAATTGTTGCTGTACTAGCAATACTATCCCCTAGTATGAATACAGGCATGCCCCAGAGATATTGCAGGTTCGGTTCCAATCACTGCGATAAAGGGAGTATTGCAGTAAAGCAAGTCACATGAAGTTTTTGGTTTCCCAGTGCATATAAAAGTTATTTACACTATCTTGTGGCTTGTCCAGTGTGTAATAGCATTGTGTCTAAACAACAACAACATATCACATTAATTAAAAAATACTTCGTTGATAAAATTGCTAAACATCATCTGAGCCCTCAGTGAATTGTAATCTTTTTGCTGTTGGAAGGTCTTGTCTCGTGTTCATGGCTGCTGACTGATCAGTTTGGTGGTTGCTGAAGGTTGAAGTGGCTGTGGCAGTTTCTTAAAACAAGACAACAGTGAAGTTTGCTGCATTGATTAACTTTTCCTTTCACGAATGATTTATCTGTAGCATGTGATGCTGTTTGATAGCATTTTACTTAGAGTAGAACAACTTTCAAAATTGGGGTCAGTTCTCTCAAATTCTGCCACTGCTTTATTCAGTAAGTTCATGTAATGTTCCAGTACTTGGTGAGGCAATAATAGGGAAAAGAAAAAAAACCAGAAACAGCATTTTGCAAATAAATTTGAATTTATTCGTCTTTTGGGAAAACAATATTATTTGCTATCCCACATCACAACGAAGTGTTTCTGAATGGATTTCTGATCTAGTTTTTAAAAATGCTATAAAGTGAAATGCAAGCCCTAGCTGGTTTGGCTCAGTGGATGGAGCGTTGGCCTGCGGACTGAAGGGTCCCAGGTTCTATTCTGGCCAAGGGCATGTGCCTTGGTTGTGGCACATCCCCAGTGGGGGGTGTGCAGGAGGCAGATGATTGATATTTCTCTCTCATTGATGTTTCTGACTCTCTATCCCTCTCCCTTCCTCTCTGTAAAATTCAATAAAATATGTTTCTAAAAAATGCTATAAAGTGAAATACAATAAAATAAGGTATGCCTGTATACCATAATCTGTTTATCCATCCTCCTGTTGATGGGCATTTGGATTGCTTCCAGTTATGGAATATTATGGATAAATCTTCTATGAACATTTGCATGCAAGTTGCTTGCTAGGAACTATTTTAACTGTTTCAGCTGCCCCATCTCATTTAACCCCACAATCAAACTCTGAGGTTGAAACTATTGTTATTCCATTTTGTGGTTGGGATTGTTCCCATGTTGTTGGTGAATTTACACAGGTGATTCAGCTACTTAGTGACAAAGATTTGAACTTGGGCAGTCAGACTCCACAGATCTTGCTAACAAAAAAGTACTGTTATATAATACTAGAGGCCCGATGCACGAAATGCATGGAAGGGGTTGACCCTCGCAGTCCCGGCTGCCAACTCGGCCTGCCCTCGCAGCCGCCCTGGCTGCCTCACGGCCCCACTCCCTGCCACTGGTTGTTCCGGAAGGTCGTTCCAGAAGGTTATTTCACAGTCTGGTCTAATTAGCATATTAGCTCTTTATTATATAGGATGTTTTAGTCAAATTATTATTTTTTTGGCTTCAGAAGGCACAGGTGTTTCTATCAGGTGAATAACAAATGTAAATATATTTTGATCTCTTTAGCTCGCTTCAGTAGAATATGGAAATGAAGTGGACATCTTTGCCTTAGGGCTAATTCTCTCAGAGCTTCTTTATATACCTCTCAGTCGTCAGGAAACATATAAGGTAAATAATCTCACAGAAATTATTTATTTATTTGATATGTTTTTATTGATTTTAGAGAGAGAGAAAGGGAGAGATAGAAACATCAATGTGAAAGGAACATCGATCAACTGCCTCCTGCACAACCCCTTACTAGGGATCAAGCCTGACACCCAGGCATGTGTCCTGACCTGGAATCGGACTGATGGCCTCTTGGTGCATAGGTCGACACTGAATCCACTGAGCCACACCAGCTGGGCTCACAGAAAGAATTTAGGAACAAAAATTAATGGCCATCGCCCTGGCCGGTGTTCCTCAGTGTTTAGAGCATTAGCCTGTGCAACGGAGGGTCGTGGGTTCAAATCCCAGTCCAGGGCATGTACCTGTGTTGCAGGTTTGATCCCGAGCCCTGGTCAGGGCGCATGCAGGAGGCAACCAATCAATGTCTCTCTCTCCTCTGTTTCTCTCCCCTTCCTTCCCTCCTTTTCACTATCTCTGAAAAGCAATGGAAAAAATATCCTGGGGTGAGGATTAAAAAAATAAATTATTGGCCATCATCTTCAAAGTGCTACTGTAGACAGTTTATTGCCTCATGTAATGATGGGCCTGAACATATTAACATTGGCTGCAATTGAAATATGGCTTTTCTCTCCTTCATGTTTGGGCAACCAAAACTTTTTGTTAGAAGTTCTGGTCAAATGTTGGAGTAGGTAGATGTTGTCCTCACCTCCTCCCACCACTACATCAAAATTACAACTAAATTACAGAACAGCCACCCCTGAGGACTAGCGTAACAGAACTTGTCTAACTAAAGATATAAAGGAAAAGCTGTGCTGAGACTGAATATTGAATGTCATATGTAATTGAAAAATTAAAATAAAGAAACAAACAAACAAACAACACACCCTTTTTGTTAAAGACCAAAAACTTTGGGTTTTTTGAAAGGTGTGTGCATCTTATTAAACCATCGCTCTTTATTCCTATTTGAATCAATCCGTAACATTTTGAATGCCTGCTTGGCTTAAGACACTGTGCTACGTGCTACGAGGATTATAAAAACGAATAAGCCTTGTTCTCGGGAAGCTACTGTGAGAGAGGGCTATAAATGTTTTGGGAGAAGGCATGGAGTCTTTGGGAAGCAGCTAGAAGGGGATCATTCCCAGCTGTCGGGATTGAGATTTATGGAGGCATTGAAGCTGGGCTCTGAAGGATTGGGTTGGCTTCTCATAGTACAGAGTAGAAAGGAGGTGATTCCAGCATGGAGACAGGAACGTGCAGGGTGTGTGTGGGGTTATTAGGCAGAGTCTGATATTTTTATTGGGGTAGATAAGTTACATGGCAGTGGTGGTTGATGGGTTTGGATAGACATGTTGGGGTAAATTAAGGCAGGAATGTGGGCTTGTTGAGAAGGCGGTGGGGAGCCACTACATGCATCAGGCGACTGGACATCCTAGGCTGTAGCTCAGGAAAAGGGACGCACCTGGAGTCAACAGCCTTCTCCTCTGTAAAACGGTAACGAAACAACTAGCTGTCGCACAGTGCTCCAGGAGGATGAAGGGAGATAAGGCATGTGATGCTCTTAACACTGCAGCATGTTGTGCTGTCAGAGATGCCTATTAGATGAGGCGGGGGGACTGAGGGGGCGGGGAGTCCTGCTACTTCTTGGCTGAAGAGACTTTCCAAAGATCTGGAAATGTCTCAGATTTAGGGCATCTCCAGGCTTCGGTGCTTCCTAAGTTTGTTTTTCCTACCAAGTGAGAAATTTCCTAATGAATATATATACATATGTCTTATTTTCAGATATTCGAAGATCTAAGGAAGGGCCATGTCTCGGATATATTTAATGACAAAGAAGTAAGCACTTGAAAATAATCAGAATTTCATTTTTTTAATGTTTTATTTTATTTTTTTCATAATGAGTCTTTCTATCATTACAGAAAATTCTCCTACAGAAATTAGTTGCGACTGACCCCAAGATGCGACCTAAAACATCTGAAATACTGAAGACTTTGAAGGAGTGGAATAATGTTCCAAAGAAAAAAAGGCGAAACACATATTAGTGCCTTTCTAAAAAAGGCACTTCTGATGTTCGATTTTCCTGTAATTGTCTAAAATCTGCTAGGGAATATTGATGATATTTACCTGTTATTTTCATTTTCCCTTAATTTTTTAATACATTAGCATAAAGGTTTACACCTTTTTTTAAAAAAATTGATTTTTAGAGCCCGGCCAGTGTCTCTCAGAGGTTGAGCATTGAACTATGAACAAGGAGCTCACAGTTTGAGTCTAGGTCAGGGCACATGCCCAGGATGTGGGCTCAATCCCCAGTGGGGGGCGTGCAGGAGGCAGCCAATTAATGATTCTCATCGATGTTTCTCTCTCCCTCTCTGAAACAAATAAAAATATATTTTAAAATACAAGAAGGCAAATGCTGCTCAGCAGAAACCTTCATCTTAAAAAAAAAAAAAAGATTTTTAGAGAGAAGAAAGGAGAGAGAGAGAGAAAGAAACATTATTGAGCCCTAACCGGTTTGGCTCAGTGGATAGAGCATCGGCCTTCGGACTAAAGTGTCCCAGGTTTGATTCTGGTGAAGGGCATGTACCTTGTTTGCCGGAGCATCCCCAGTGTGGGGTGTGCAGGAGGCAGCTGATTGATGTTTCTCTCTCATCAATGTTTCTTAATGAGAGACCAGTCGGGAGCTGAAAACCAGGATTACAGGCTTTATTAAGGGAAAGAGGCCCGCCGGGCTTTCTCACAATGGAGAACAGCAACTCCTGCAGAGTTGGGCACTCACTCCTTTTGTGGGGTGGAATGGGAAGGAATGGGGCTTAATGTACTCAGTGCGCCCTGACTGGTGGCTTAATGTATGGTCTATATAAGAACAAGAGCTTAGGCCAGGGGTCCTCAAACTAC